AACCACGATGGTCTCCATGGTGACCACCACCAAGAGAAACATCTTCATGGTCACCATGGCAACCACAACGATCTCCACGGCAACCACCATGAAAAGCATCCCCATGGTCTCCATGGCAACCACCATGGTCTCCATGGTGACCACCACCAGGAGAAGCATCTTCATGGTCACCATGGTGACCACCACCATGAGAAACATCCCCATGGTCACCATGGCAACCATCACCACGAGAAGTACGGGGACCACCACGATGGTCACCATGGCGACCACCATCACGAAAAGCACGGGGACCACGCTGAGCATCACGGTCACCATGGCAACCACCACGGTCTCCACGGCGACCACGAGAAGCATCTTCACAGTTTCCATGGCAACCACCACGTGGAGAAGCATCCCCATGGTGTCCATGGCAACCACCACCAGGAGAAGCACGGGGACCACGCCCAGCATCACGGTTTCCATGGCAACCATCACCACGAGAAGCACGGTCACCACGGCGACCACCACCAGGAGAAACATCCCCACGGTCGCCATGGCGACCACGATGGTCACCATGGCAACCACCACCAGGAAAAGCACGGGGATGTCCGTGACGGTCACCATGGCAACCACCACCATCTGCGTGGCAACCATCACCTGGAGAAACATCTTCATGGTCTCCATGGCAACCACCACCAGGAGAAGCACGGGGACCACGCCCAGCATCACGGTCACCATGACAACCATGATGATCTCCATGGAAACCATCACCAGGAGAAGCACGGGGACCACCACGATGGCTACCACGGCAACCATCACCATGAAAAGCATCCCCACGGTCTCCATGGCAACCACGATGGTTTCCATGGCAACCACGATGGTTTCCATGGCGACCACCACCAGGAGAAGCATGCCCATGGTTTCCATGGCAACCACGATGGTTTCCATGAGAGCCACCACCATGAAAAGCATCTTCACGGTCTCCATGGCAACCACTACCAGGAGAGACATCCCCACGGTCACCATGGCGACCATCACCAGGAAAAGCACAGGGACCACGCCGAGCATCACCGTTTCCATGGCAACCACGACGATCTCCATGGCAACCATCACCAGGAGAAGCGCGGGGACCACCACGACGGTCTCCATGGCAACCACCGCCAGGAGAAGCATCCCCACCATCTCCATAGCAACCATTATGGTCTCCATGGCAACCACCACCATGAAAACCATGGGGACCACCACCACGATGGTCTCCATGGCAACCACCACATGGAGAAACATCTTTATGATCTCCACGGCGACCACGACGGTCACCATGGCAACCGCCACCAGGAGAAGCACAGGGACCACCATGGCGGTCACCAGGGCAACCACAAGGATCTCCATGGCGACCACGATGGTCTCCATGGCAACCATCACCTGGAGAAACATCCCCACGGTCTCCACGGCCACCACCAGCAGGAGAAGCACGGGGACCAGCACCAGGAGAAGCACCTTCACGGTTTCCATGGCGACCACAACGATCTCCAGGGCCACCAGCACCAGGAGAAGCATCTTCACGGTCTCCATGGCGACCACCATGACCACCACCAGGAGAAGCATCTCCATGGTCTCCACGGCAACCACAATGATCTCCACGGCCACCACCACCAGCAGAAGCATCTCCACGGTCTCCACGGCAACCACGATGGTTTCCATGGTGACCACAACGATCTCCATGGCCACCACCACCAGCAGAAGCATCTCCACGGTCTCCATGGCGACCACGACGGCGGCAAAGGCGTCAACCGGCTGGAGGGACCCGGTGACCGCGGGAAGCGACCCCAGCGACCGCTGCCCGGGGCCCACTAACCGACCACTAACCAACCGCTAACCAACCGCTAACCAACCACTAACCAACCACTAACCACGGTAACCAACCCACTAACCAACCCACTAACCAACCGCTAACCAACCGCTAACCAACCACTAACCACGGTAACCAACCCGTAACCAACCCACTAACCAACCGCTAACCAACCACTAACCAACCGCTAACCAACCACTAACCAACCACTAACCAACCAGTAACCAGCCAGTAACCAACCGGTGCACCTGAGAGACACCTGGGAGACCCAAAAACCCACCTGAGATACACCTGAGAGACACCAAACCCACCTGAGAGACACCAAACCCACCTGAGAGACACCAAAACCACCTGAGAGACACCAAAACCACCTGAGATACACCAAACCCACCTGAGATACACCAAAACCACCTGAGATACACCAAAACCCACCTGAGATACACCTGAGATACACCAAAACCCACCTGAGATAGACCAAAACCACCTGAGAGACACCAAAATTCACCTGAGATAGACCAAAACCCACCTGAGAGACACCAAACCCACCTGAGAGACACCAAAACCACCTGAGATACACCAAAACCACCTGAGATACACCAAACCCACCTGAGATAGACCAAAACCACCTGAGAGACACCAAAACCCACCTGAGAGACACCAAACCCACCTGAGATACACCAAAACCACCTGAGATACACCAAAACCCACCTGAGAGACACCAAAACCACCTGAGAGACCCAAAACCCACCTGAGAGACACCAAACCCACCTGAGATACACCAAAACCACCTGAGATACACCAAACCCACCTGAGATACACCAAAACCACCTGAGATAGACCAAAACCCACCTGAGATACACCAAAACCCACCTGAGATACACCAAAACCCACCTGAGATACACCAAAATTCACCTGAGATACACCAAACCCACCTGAGATACACCAAAACCACCTGAGATA